AATTGACCAATTAGAAAACGCATGTGTTTATGTACGTTTACGCTGTTGTTCTGTAGGACCAATAGTTAAGGGTCGGACTGAGTGGAAAGTTTTATTTCATGAGGCCAGCACACTACAGGTACGTGCATTTTTCAGGTCAAAATAGTAGCACTGAAATATGCAATGCACACAATAGACAATGGAGAATATCACTTCCACAGTTAAAAACTTACTTGTGCAAAAATTAATTAGTAAGCAGGAAGACAACCTGTCTATATATGCACGGCATCCAGAATGAGCTATGCGGTCGTCACAAAGTAGAGCGCTGTGTCCATAATATGTACCATACCTATGATGGAGTAATATTTCTGTGCCCATGGCGACCATTGTGATGTCAAAGAGATATCCACCGCTGTATGTATGAACTTTGTATCATAATCACATTAATTACAGTACATGAAGCTATTATTACATGTTATACCAACATGCTAAGTGCACAGTAATGTATGTAGCCTACGATATTAAACTCATGTTGTGCATACGAAAGCTTATGCATACTCAAATCTCCACACTAATTACTTAAATGCTATTTTATTACATAAGTCAATGTGTTACTACCTACATAGTGTGCGAATCATTATATACCAGACTTATTAAAAGGGCACATTTGCATCATAAATGTAATCCATTTGTTTATAAAATATTATCATCCTTAGAAAATTTCTGTAATCTTTCATACTTGCATTAGTTACCTCAGAGTTATGATAATTTAACTCTATGATCAGAGCATAAAACCTTAGGCAAAATAGATAAGTATCAATTTCATTATTATATACACACACAACCCTATCTACAAAAAATACTGCCTAAAATTTAATAATATATATATAATTGTTCCTACACAGCACTGTAATATATAATAATATTTGGTATAAAGGAGTGCTCAAATACAGAAACGATGCATAAACCATCAATAAAAAAAAAATTGTTTGAAAAATTTCCCTGGTGGGAATTGAACACTTGATCTCTCGTTATAAACGTGACCATTAGAGCGATAGACCACAGAGGCCTGATGGTATATGGCAGACACAATTCAGATACTCTGACACTTTTGTAAACTGATATATGTCCTCACATATATAAACAAAATAAAAAATAAAAAAGTTAAATAGCAATACAGTATACATGGATATGACTTCATACAAGTATATGATAGTATAATACATACTCCAATTATCGAAATGCACGTCATCGTGTCGGGATTCAACATTTCGACATTGTCATCAGAAATACATGTATATACACATTTGGAAAAGCCATTTAAGTTTGTTTTAAAATGTTTGCCAGTTAAATAATAGATTAAATACAATATCCTACTACAATCAGACAAAATACTAAAAAAATAATTAAAATAGTGAAAAGAAATGCCAGTAATGCTAATAAAATGTAAACTTATTTAAAATGTTGCATTTCACATCAACACAATAAAAAAGAAAATTCTGATTCTTAAGTCTGTGATCTGGTAGTTTGTCTCTAAAAGTTATCTAGTTACTGCAACATTAACTTGCTTTATTTCCTTACCTAGCGCCTTTGATAAATTTTTGAATTGGCGCTACATAAATATTTGTTATTATTATTATTATTAACATAATATTTTCAGTCACACATCTGGATTTAAATGTTTGCGTCCACCTTGTACATATCCAGACACATATTCATGCTTCATTGAAATTTGATTCAATCAGTTCTGAAATGCCTGGTTAAAGCAGGGAACAGTTAAATTAATAATTTAACTGTTCCCTGGGTTGAAGTAATTATTATTTCTTTTCTGATTAATGGAGTGCATCTTTTCCCTATCTTCTTCATGCCATAAGCTGTAGGCCTATATCAAACATTAAGGAAAACCCTGAAGAACCCTTTATTACACGACAAAGCAAACACCCCAACACGTACGGTCATCCCCGAGGGACTAAAAATCTTCAATATCTGTCTTTATAAGAGTAAATGGATTTACGATTTGTAAGCCTCGCCAGATGAAACTCTTACTTCAATTGATAATCAATTCAGTCCACTTTCATTTTCGTTAATCCACCAAGAAATTGTTTTCTTAATATCCTCAATGTAAAATGCATTGGCAACACAATCAAGGATAGTGTGCGTATAAGGAACGCATAGATAAGCCTTTCATTATAAACAAAAACACCTGCTTCCAAATTAAAAAAAAAATACTGCTGGCCAAATATATTTTTTTTAAATTATAACTTGGGTGTTTTTAAGAGAGGAAATGGATGAGGCAATTATTTTCTTCCTTTTTTTTTCTACCTTCCAAATGACCACAATCTACCTCATCTTACACAGAGTGTACATACAGGCCTACTTCTATATTAGACACAAAGGGATACTTAATCATGCCTTACAACTATGCTTGCATTTCTGCTGCATTTTATGGGTGCTTAGCCTCAAGACGGTAACATAAATAAAATAAAAATAATGTAGAAACAGAAGAATAAGCATGGGAAGAGAAACCTATTTTTTTGGCCTTATCAATTGTTAAATTATCTTTTTTTTTTAAATTATTATATACCTGTTATAATGGCATATGTATATACTGTATGTACATGGCCATATCTTATATCTACCACAAACTTTTTTAGTCTAGGTGACGTTTTACACTTTTTTGTGAAGTGTAATAATTTACTTAGCTTTTTTTTTTTTTTTTAAAGAAAAACCAATGTTTAAATTCTTACAGTACATGGTTTATCTTAGTTTTCTGGTTCGAAAGAGAATTATATAAATTGAACTTCTTTCATTCTCACAGTATTTTCCATTTCCATGACGCATTTCAACTTTGTCATAATGCAAAATAATATCTCATTATTGCATAAGCTGTCGATGAGCATGCTCTTAGGTTTTAGATGTTCGAAAGTAGAGTATATTGACTTTAAACAAACAAAGCATATTGCTCATCATTCATTAAAATAAATAAAGAGACATATCATTTCCTACAATTAGATAAAATAAAAATGTCAAATTAAAATATGGATTTAGATTTTTTATGATTGAACCTAGACTCTTGGATTTTAAAAGTATGGCACTTCACTTCTGTTCCATTATAAGATTTATGTATAATTTCAATGCATATTGCTATGACCATCATAGTTAGGGACAATCTACCCATCATACCTGATCAGTTAATCTGGGCACATACTGCGTCTTACGACATTTGTACGATCATCAGCCGGACTGTCAATCTCCGCTCTCTCTGATTGTCATTATAAATCATCTGTTGCGTACGTCTCTTTGTATTGAACGATTCTACTCCACCTGGAATTGTTTTGGTCGATGATTGTTGTTGCAGTGTGATCCCAATTTCCCAGTTAGCCCTGTTTTTGCTCTAATGGCTTCTATAATTTTATGAAATATTTAAGAAAGCCTACAGACTATACAGTATGTCAATTAATTTTTTTTTCTAAATATACAAAATTACATAATTTGATTACATAATAATAATCACTAATGAAAGAATTTTAATGTAAGAATATCATTACATAATCATACCAAAATGTAAAAATAATGACAATATTAATATCAATAATAAAAACAACAATATTAAGCAACAATTTATAATCAAAACAAAATATATATAGTATACCTAAAACTATCAAACTCTTTAAGAATCACAAAAGATAGAAACTAATCATGACTATTACCATCTCACCAAATAAAATAAATAACAAGAATTGACTATAATATAAAGCAAACCAATGATAACTAAATGATGAATGCACAATGATTTAAATATTAAAATAAAGATGATTATTATAATTTTTCAAGTGACAATAAAGTCAAAGATATATCCCTACAGAAATTGAATTAAATTAATTTTTGAAATAAAAATTAGAATATTTTTTTTTCTGTAATAATTTCCAATAATGTATTTTGTAATAATTACATCTTCTATACATATGAAATTTTTGTGTAGTAATAATGTGTAATAGATCAATCAATAAATAAATTATTCTATATATCAATAAATTATCAATATATAAATTAAATGAATTATTGATATATGAATCACTAATCTAAGAAGAAATTTAATATATGAATATACTATCAATATATAATTAAATTATGAATAATCTCTGATTAAAGTATCAATCTATGAATTGTAAATCTTTGAGTCACAACTGTGTTTGAATAAATTATAAATTTATTTACAAATCAGTGTAGGTCTATAGCTGTATATACATAATAAAAAAAAAATGTATATTGGTTATTATAATAAATATGCAATTTGTATTGTGTTTAAAACTACTAGCTCAACTAGGCATTTATTACCCTCATGGTAAAATAATGCTTAAATCTTGCACTTTATACAATTTGTTCACGGCTTCCAGAATCGTTTATACAAATCTTTCCATGAAAAGTTCTCGTTGCAGAAATATTATACACATATTTTAAAAAATATTTCCCGTTTCCAGTTTTTGTCGTCTCTTGGTAACCAACCGAAGGCACTCCACAACTGTGCAGGAAAGTAAGCATCCTTCTTTTTTTTTTTATATAGCAATAAGACCCTTCATAAAACAAATATTTTCTTGCAAAATTGAAACATGAAATAAATGTTTTAGAAATAATATGAACAGTTTTCAAACATACTGTGAGTTTAGGAACTTGATCTCAATAACAGGTGATTTCTGTACAGCTACGATTAATTTCACGAGAATTGATATAAAAATGTAACATATGATGGAGAGACAGAAAAAAGCATCTTTCTATTTTTTGTTTCTTGACACCGTGCAACAACCTTCTCACGAACGAATTAAAGCTGAACCTCGAAAACTATTTATCCTCCACCTGAATTTTATTATTCTTTGAAGATGGATCACTCCGTATTCCACTTGAGTTCATTTGTTTCCATAAAAAGAAATTACAAAGATGAATAATGAATGAATGAAGTAAACAGAAATGAGAAAGCGATAGTCTGTCCCAGTGAAGAGCAGAATAACTGTACTAGAAAAGGTGACTTTGCTCTCCACTGGTATTTCGAGGTCACAGTATGGTGTCAAACACGTGCATCGATAGAGAGATTGTTTCATCCTGAAAGACATATTTGAAAAGATATATTTAGGCTAATTTTTCAATTTTTTTCATTGTTTATACATTTACCTATCAGCAGCATTCAGAGTTTTGGTAAAACTAACCACATGTCCCAGCTGTCAGTTTGACCAAAACATTTAATCCATATACACTCTGTGTAAATTCTGCTTGGTAAAAATATCCATGTCATTCATGTTGTAAGCTTAACTCAGCAAATCATGCTCAAGAAGAATAAACAGGTTGGACACCAAAGAGAGGCCCTGGCCAGATCCCCCCCCCTTGCCCCACCACTGGTGCTGAGAATTCTTAACTACAAGTCTACGTCAGCTCCACTACTGATCATATACAGTAACCTTGTTAGCCAGGCCAACATACACCCCATTCATATTCACTAATAATTAACAAATACAGGAACAAAACATGTAAGAATGACTATGTCTATTTCTCAATTGATCTACCCCACCTAGTTCATACATACTGTAATTTATGTTGGGATACTTGCTGTAGATGCAAATGAAATATGAAAAAAAAACAAAAAAAACATGATAATAACAAAAATATAATACCTGTCTACATGACTCCAAAAATTCATCTATTGTGACAACTCCATCTCGATTCAAGTCCAATTTCTGTAAAGAAAAAATATGAGACAAGTCAAAGTAACTGACGATATTCATGTCGATAGATACTTAAATATAAATCATTATATGTTCAGTATTGCATGTGAATTTTGTAAAACATACTAAAATTCAACAGATGCTAGAATCCGCACAAATTCCCCCACCTTCCTATGAAGGAAATTTCCTTGCGAAAAAAGTGAAACAAAGACAATGTGTAATAAATCAACAACAATCAGAATACCATTCAGATTGCAAATTGAGCTAAAAAGCTTGCCCTCTACCTTATCAATTTGTTTGTTTTTTGTTTTTTTTTGCTCAAAGAACCTGGATAAATCCTCATATTTCTGTAAAATATCAGAAATAGTTGAGCACATTGTAGAAAAATTATAATTGCATTTTTTTTTGTCATTATTTTAATGCCTAGCCTTGATTGTGATTATCATTATGGGAAATTCCATTAAAAAAACAACAGGAATATTATAGAAAAGTTATGGGGATGTGACGATTAGAAAGCAATAAAAAAAAGGAAAGATGATAAATAAACAGAAAAATTAATGGGGTGTAATATACACAATAATAATTTATCGTCTCCATCGGTATTTAAATTCCAGGCTTAGAAAGAAATAAAAAAGGGAAGATAATAAATAAACATAAAATAAATTAATGGAGTGTAATGTACACAATAATAATTGATCGTCTCCATCGGTATTTAAGTTCCAGACATTTAATTTATATTTATATCCTGCACTGGAGGTGTTTCGCTCCCTACCAGTTTTGATCATGTACACAGCAGGAATGAGATAGACAGCTACATAATAAAAACATTCATTTTAAAAATTCACAAGAGACTGTGAGTTCAATAATTTACAAAACTTAAAAATATACGGTCAATAATCATAACCTCGAACCCAGCTGCTTACAGTCACATGAGCGCCCTTGGGCATCGGTCATCCTCTTAGAATTGACATTTCATCAAAATCATGTCACTTAAAACTGCAACAGTCTACTTTGTGTCCTCACAAAAATATATTTTCTCCATGGGTGATATTGTAATCAGAAGAGTGAACGTCGAATGTTGCAGTAATTACACGTTAATCATACAAGGTTTTTTTGTTTTTTTTGCAGAAATAAAAAATCTGAGGATCTTTAGCTCTGACAAGCAACGTGCAAAGTGATGACTTACGGACATTTGAAAGGTCACCGAAATCAATTAACTCTGGCAGCAGGTTGCACATTCAAGAGTTGTAGACAAACACAGACTTAATAAAAATTAAATGAAATTCTTTAATAGTACACAAATAGGGTACACATCGTTTCTAACACTTCTGGATAAAGAATTCTGATTAAAGGAGGAAAAAATGAAAAGTATGCTTGGTTAATGGGAATAAATGGTTAGCAAAAGAAATGGCCGATCCATAATTTATTTGCTGGATTCTTTTGCTGGGGTGGTGTAAGTACCAAACGAGGACTTCAACTGTGTGTAGGGGGAAAACCTATGGCCGAAGTGGAAGGGTTAGTGTTCTTTTTTTAATGTTATTAGTAATAGCAGTTCTATACTTCAATGCCTATTAAAAATGTTAACATACTCAGCTGAGTAGTGGTGGTGGTGTAGTACATTACATGTTACTCATAGCAATTGTCATCTTTACTTCATCACCTTTTATAATACAATGCTGTCCAGCTCCGTATTAGGACAAACAAGTCATTTTAAATTTCAAAGTCATACACGTTTAAGATGGCCGATTAGAGAATTATATATTGTAATACCTCTACATTTTCATACTTTCACTGTATAATAAAAAACACAGATGCCTTTTCAGTATTAATGTTAGTAATTGACTATGTGCCAGCAATAATTAAAACCAGAGATAAAATGCAACCGCCAGGCTGCCAGGCAAGAAGTACCATATTTATTTAGATTATGATTAATTTACGCATTTGAATATTTTGTAAAATCTCTGTGGACAAAATATACAGTAATACCGAGAAGTCAACTACGTTATTATTTAAATTACAAAGGACAGCATCACGAGTGAGACAAAATCTCAATATTTGACAACTAGCCAATAAAAAATAATGTTCAACATGAGTTTTGGGATAGATATCCATCATGCCTCAGGAGACCCTTAGTATTCTCTGAAGTGCCTTTGGATTAGACAAGAAAAAATAAAAGCCACATTATATATACGAAAAAGCTTTGAATATTAATCAGTCAGACTTAGAGATGTCTTTTATCAGATCAGAAAACAACAACATAATTATATGAATAATGGCAACTTGTGCGATTCGGAGTTTAAAGGAGCAATCCCGAAGGCAAGTTGAAGATAAATTTTGTCCATTATGAATTTTACGTTAACATTCCCAGAGCTAGCAACACCAGATTTCACCCCATTTTGCCTAAAAGGTTAGGCCATCAAACTGACTGATCTTCATATATCTTTTAAAATAGCTACTTCAATTTTTTTTTTCTTTCCCTAACAGTAATGCCTCTTTGTTTGTTCTTTGTTTTTTCTTTTTTAATATTTACTATTTTCATTTTTTTAAATAAGTGATACATAATTTAATTAAAATTAAAATTGTTGTAAATAAAATAATTTAATACAAATTTAATAAATATTTTTCCTTAATTTTTAAGGCTATTTTGAAATAATTTTTATTTCCTCAGTGATTTTGGTGTTTTTCTTGTATTATTTATCAAATTGACGTCATTTGAATTTGTTTTTAATTAATTGTTCTGTACTGTCTACGTGTTTTATCCAATCATGTTTTAATTGATTGCAATAAAATTGAATTTGAATTTGATCTTATTAATTTGATTTACTGATACATGGCCTACTTTTTATTGCGAGAAATTATGTTTCACTCTGTTCGTCCCACGGTATCTGCAGTATGCGGATGTAATTCTCTTCTACATTCTTTGCCCTGTGGTTATTACACTCTTGCTACAACACAGGGGAGTTGAGTATCTGCAGGGACTGACATGAATTCATTTCCTAACTTAACTTAAATTTTTTTCTACTTTGTTTCGATAATGCTTGCGTTTTTCTACGAGAAATAACAAAGTATTGCGAAGAAATTCACCTCCTGACAATAAAGAGTGATGCGACATTTTTTACAGATGAAAATGGTTACAATCTTATCAATCTCACACGCTGTCATTGAATTCTGACATATGCTATGACACTTTAATCACTCTTAAATCCAAATAATTTCCTTATAAAATCAACGGACATAAATTATGAATAATATAGTTTTAAGCATTTTTTTTGCATATACTTTGAAATAGCTGGTGTAAATTAAAAAATAAGTATTTGGATAGTAAAACATTTGTAAATCAGTAAAAATTGAATTATTTTGAACTTCATTTAATTATAAATTATTAATATATTCAATACTTTTAAACAATTTAACATTTTTTTTTCATATTTAACCAGTATATCTTTAATATTTGAGGGTTTCAACAAAAAGTGCCTCTGAAAATCTTTTACTGTGACAGCATTTGTTAGCATTGAAATTAATCCCGCTAAGCCTTGCTTGCCATTGGTGATTAAGCATCCCATCTAGCAAAAAAGTCAGAAGTAAATTTACATTTTACATTTACAATTTTTTTAAATGTAAAATTTCCTATATAAAAAAGTATCCCATCATATTGATCTCTGTGTTGAGAGCTTTTGCTGTACCCTAACATATAGGCTATGTTCTCACACGGCTGCTAACGGTTAGCAGGATCCAGATCCTGCTAACCGTTAGCAGCCATGCGTCCATACGAGAAAATCCTGATCCGGATACCAAAAACATGATGATCGAATTACTGGCCAATAAGAAACTGGAAATTGTAAACGCGTACGTGTGATTGGTTGATGATAGAAACGTGCTCAACTTGCTAACCAATAGCGCTTGCTAACCGTTAGCGGTATCCGGATACTGCTAATGGTTAGCGCTAACTGATCGGGCGTTCTTACGCAGGTGCTAACGGTTAGCGCTAACGGTTAGCTCCCGATCCGGATACTAGGGCTCTCGTGAGAACCAGGCTATAGAGTGTATGGACCTTCCTGCTAAGCCACGCCCATTGGATACTATTGCTATGTTCCTACAAAACGACAGTGTTAAAACGCAAACGCACATGCTCTTAGAAACGCGCATATTCTTGGTCATGTTCTTATTGGTCAGTTGTTAAATTCGATTTAAACTACGAAAAGGTCCATTATTTAACAGTAGAAAAGAATCACTATCCACATCAATTTTTATTAAAAGTGAATGTCATGAATCTAGGATCAACGGAATCAAATAACAATAATATGAACGGACAGGTAAGTGGTGGAATTGCATAAGAATAGCATCGTTTGATAAATCCCAGGCTTACTCGAAATATTTTATCCACATGATCCTTTGGAGAGATTTCATCAATGCTTGGTTGTGAATATTTTCCCATCATGTCATAGATGGATGTGACGATATCAAGCATCTCCTAGACAAACGAAGAAGAAAGACATTTAAAGCATGCATCAAGTGATAATCAATCACTGTGTAACTGCGACTAATCTTATCAACTTTATTATCACTGGTACCAATATTCTCATCAACGCGATGAAGACAAACAATGCTTTTATCTGATTCTTGGAATATACCGTCAAAATCACTTTTTTAGTCTTGTCAGAGAGAAACAAATTACACTATTGTATTTCTCTCATTTGAAGAATGAATACATATTTTTTTCTTTATTGATTTTCAATTTATTAAAATTTATCTTCTTTTTCATCAGGAAAATTTATGAGAATGAGAGCCACATTGACTAGAAGTAAAAAAACAAAAAAATATTCAAAAGAACTTTTATGCAAATATAAGAATCATCATGCAATCAAAATGAAAAGGTAAATGGGTTCATGTGATCATCTGAGGAAATATGAATTCTTGGTTATTTATATACCATGACGTTCATCATGATTATAAGATGTATTATGTTTGGTATCTATCAATGTACATATAAAAAGATTTTATAGAAGTGTTTAAAATAATGCTGGCCTGTTATTTCCTGTTTTGAATTTTGGCAGGTGTTATGATGACAAACAGAAGGAGGAGGAAAGGGGGGGGGGGGCATAAAATAGAAAGACAAGAGAAGGTGAGCCTTATGACAAAGCTAAATTTAGGTTTAATGAATCCACTCCACCCCACTACTTGGCAGTAGGGGGTGCGTGGTCGACATCATCTCAGCCCCACCATGGTTGAGCTGATAATTCATATCAATAATAAATTACAATTATTTTTCTTAACACAATTTAGTGGGGGGGGGGGGGAAGGTTGCGATTGCATCTTCCACACACACCCCGCATCCGCCCCAGCAATCCAGATTATAGGCTTGGATGTCTACAGGCCTTTATCACAAACTACTGTACATTCATGTACTGTACGTTGTCTTGAGTTTTGGTATTGGTTATATTAAGTTTTCCTTCGAATCCCAGGGCCTAGTTCAATTATTGTCAGTTTCAGAGACAACTGAAGTGGAGTTTAATGGCTTGGTTGTTAAGATGCATCCCTTCTAATTCTATGGTCCTGGGTTCAATTCCTGTTCTGGGTTCAATTCCTGTCATGTCATGATCAAAACAACTCCACTCCCTAAGCCTCATAATGAGACTTAGTATATGTAGAGTATCTTGTGTGTATCTTGTGTGTATGTTTGTCTTGTTAAAGGATATTAACCATAAACCAATGAATAAAAACATAAAATAAAACTCTCTGTGCCTTATGATGAGTTTTATGAGTATCATGTGAGTTATATTCACCTTACATTATGTAAGGTATTGCATTAATATCGCTATACAAAATCCTTAGCCTATCTGCATAAATGGATAAAATACAATACATAAATAATGGAGACAAAAGAAATGAATGCTATATGGAGGCGGAAGGTACAATGATGTATTTATGGAAGGGCATGGGTACTTCTGCCTGATCATATTCATTCATTACCCCAGAATCTGTTCACCTTCTGGCTGGCAGTCTGACATTTTTACAATTCATTTTCTTGCAGTTACTGCTTGGATGACATGGAATAAATCTAATAAATCTAAAAAGGTTACATACATCTTTTGTTATTGATCCATCTCCATTTATGTCATATAACATGAAAGCCCAATTCAATTTCTCAACAACCGTACCCCTCGAGAGCACCGACAGCCCGGCCACAAACTCCTAAAAAAGAAAAATATTATTGCTTCTGTAATTCATTATGTTCTAAGATTTCCAGGGCCAGATTTGTTCATACATAACTCTTTAATTTTCGATAATGCTTCACATTTAAATAATTTTCGTTGCAGTGTTTAATGAAGCTATCAATTTCAGCCCAGGAAATAACAACCTTGGTCGTCTTCCTTTTTTTATCGACCCTAAAAGTACAAAGTCATCTGCAAAGTAAATAGCAGACTTCAGTGGCAGAGTGATAACAAGCTGTGGATAGGGATGATGTTCCAAATCCCTACGGTATACATGTGTGCAAATGGTCTAAATGAGTTATTACAAAAGAAGATAGTAAGGTACAAAATATGCATGTTTTAAATGCCTGACTGGACTCTGTTAAAAGCTTGGATTAAAATTATAAGTTAACCGAATCATAGAAATGTTACTTACTGAATCTAGAGTCCTTCAATTTGTGAGTAATTGGAACACAATTAACATTTTTTGTAGGACAACTAGCACTTCTTGAGTGAACACATTGGGGTATGGGGTACATTCTATACAGCTCCATTATATATTCATTTCTTTACTAGAGGTCCACATTCTCAACCATGGTGGGGCTGAGGTGGTGTTGACTCGCACGCTCCCCCTACCACCAAAATCATGCATCTACCCCAGAAAAGTATAGACGAAGTGTAGGAAAATGATAAAAGCATTCTACTTTTTTGTTAGTATCAACTTCATCAGTTTATGCATTATATCTCAATGGTTTACAGTATATCAGGATAATCTAACAGCAAAATGAATGAGGGCCTAAGCCTGCTCAAACCTCTACAAACTGTATTTGAAAGAATGGTCCTCAGATATATTAGATAAAAGCCAGTGGCTATTTCAAAGCTCTCCTTGCAACTTCCACTCATGTTATAGTGAAAGTAAATAGGCAATAAAATTCACCTTTAAATATTTATAAAGGGTATTGCATATCCTATTAGCAATTCCATATAAGGACATAACTACTGTACCTCACAGAATAGGATCCCTCCCCCTCCCACCTATGCTGAGATGAGATATCCCCACTTTACAATAATTTCATTATGATCTTTTTAGTCTACTAATTACTGTACCTTATTTCAGGTGAGAATCTTAAAACCTGTTTAGAGATAAAGTCTATTAGAGAAGTTTAAATTAGGTCGAAAACGTTTAGAAGATTAAAATATTGGTCAAGATCCGCACTGTCGTGTTGTAGTTGTGTTTTTATCAGTGAATAAACTAAGTCGATGCACACAGAGTTAAAGCAATAACAGGTCCATTTTGCAATAATCACTCGCTGCTTATAATTTGCATCGGCACATAAACCATCCCCAAAAGAATATCTCAAAGTAGTGTCACGATAAGTAGAAAGAAATGAAATGGATCACTCTGATAGGGTTAAATGATATGGATTATCTCTCCCGCTGGACTAGATTAAATCTTCCCAGTGGAACCAGATCAGTATAATCAAATATCGTTATCCTGGAATTAAATGAATCGCCTCATCATCATTTACGATAGAAATATATCAAATGAATCACAAATCACTTCTACTGAAATAAATCAACAAGAAAAATGCCACTCCTATCATAATTAAATGGATTGTTAACAAATATGATTTATTCAAATAGAAAATTTTCAACCATAGGAAAATGCAAATTGATTCATTTTTCCAACAAATGGATTCAATACAATTAATTATGCCATAACATCAAATCAAATGGGATATATTATACCATCATTATATACTAATTCAAATGTTTTGTTATTCATATATAACCAGGCCCCTGCACAAATCTGGAGCAAATATATCATAAACCCAGTTTCAACTGCATTCATTATCTTAATTGTACAAATAAATTACATTTCCTTCATCTTTATTCACGATTGTTTTATTTTTTGGTTACAGTTCGATTCTGAAACTCTTGCCATACTAAGTATACTGTATCATTTTCTTTTTCATGATTGTTTTTTGGTTTCTTTTTTAGTTCGATTCCCAAACTCTTGCCATGCCAGCGGCATAACGCCTATGCACTCTTGCATGGCGGTCCACAAGGATCAGGGGGACCTACCCATATGGAGCTTTGTTGATAGCACATAACAGCATAATATCTCTATGACATCGACTATAGGATATATATATTATATCCAGTGACGAATTAAATGGGGCCGACCCGGGCCCCTAAATTTGTCTTTTTCTTTTTAAATAGAGTTAACAAGAAAACTACATTCAAATTTTAAGTCTGTTAGTGCCATTTCCGGCCATCTAGAAGTGCCATAATCATAAATTTTCTTATCTAAGCCCTGACCATGGTGGAGCTGAGGTGGTATACAGTAGACCCTCAATCTATGAAAGTGCCTCCTTGGGCCCCCTCTATTTCAAATTCCTGAATCCGCCACTGATTATATCAGTTATTTGGTAGTTTAAAAAAATAAAATATAATGACAAACATAATTTTAAAAAATCGAAAATCAATGCCATGATAGTTCCATGGCTTTGCCTATCATGAAGATTAAACAGTTGTGTTAATTGAAAAATTAATTTTTTTTTGCCTGCTCCTATATCGATTCTTTGGAAACATAAATATTTAAATTATATTAGCTCACAAATGTTCTTTGTTTAAAAGGTTATTTGCCTTCCTTGCAAAAATATATTTCAGCATTGGAGCTATTAATGAGTTGGATAATGGTTATTATCTCAAAAAATATACGTAATACAAAACAAATTAAATAAAAACATAGATTTTTTCATAAGATTATATCTCACAGGATTAAATCACAAGAATTACACACATTCTATTTAATCATGGGAGGCTTCTAATGTGTTGGATATAACTGAATTGCTCCGTTCTCATAAAATTTACATAATATGTACATTTTTGTATACCAGTATATTTTATTATACAAAACAAATTAAATAAAAATATGGATTTTCTTTATAAGATTATATCTCCTAGGAATAAATCACAAAAATTATCATATTCGATTTAATCATGGGAGGTTTTTAATGAGTTGGATATAACTGTATAGCTCTTCATAAAATGTATACATAATATGTACATTAATGTATACTATACAAAATAATTTTAATAAAAACATGGATTTTTCATCAGATTAAATCTCATAGGATTGAAT